AGCGGGAGTTGGATAAGAGGGCGAACAGTAGATAGATAGGCCAGGATAGAAAGAGGAGTTAAAGTGTAACAGTTTTTGGCAGAACGTTTGTCGAGGGATGGGCTTTACTTGTCTCTGACGAGTTCGTAGCTTCGTGCGTCGAACGGCAAAACTCACTGACGATGCCGACTATGATCTATGCTAAACGTTTGAGAATGTACCAAGTCCACTGTCTGATGCTGGGTATCATGACAACTACTATGGCAGACGACTTCGGACTAGTTGCATTCTACTAAGTCACCCAGACGACAAGACCAAGTTGCGTTAACGAGGTCAACCCATTTCTATAAATCGAAAGGAGACTGCGACTATACCAGAGCCGTAACATCTTTATCTTCATATCCTCAATTAAACACTGATAGTTTATTTTTTTTCCAAAATGATATAAATGCATATATCATCCATTGAATATTACTTACCTTTCTCTTCCATACGCTCAATTCATCCAAGGTGAACTGCAATTTCGACCTTGCCTAGGCTTCATCGGATTCGATACCGAATTATTAGAATTACTCAGCAACGAAGACTATTTATACCTAAAAATAGAATAGGACTCACATGGATGAGTTTTTATAGAGATTATATCCAATCGCTTGTGCGCGATTGCGGCGGCTTATTTTAAACTACATAATTTGAGGGTAGGGATGGTGTCGGTTTACAGTAAATAATTTAGCCAGAATCACACATTTTGAGTTATAGTTAGTGAACTAGGTATCTAAGTTATTGGTTTTCCAGGAGACGAAGGAAATGCTGACAATAGTTATATGAAGTCAATTGCATAATCAAATGGCCTCCTTAAGAGTAACTCAGAAAATAAAAATGAGATGTCTTGTAAAGTATGAGGAAAAATTTAGATAGATCGAATAGGTGTAAGCACTAGGTATAGCTCAGAAGAAATTGAAGGAGTAAGTGTCTAGATGATGTGGCCTCTGTATTTTTGTCGCTACCACGTTCTGCTATATAAAAGTGCCTCGGATTTTATCTATCTACCTATCATAGTGGTCGTAACCTGAACTTGTCATCACAATTATCACATTTTTTAGCCTCGAAGCGTGCTAATGGACCAGGTCCCAGGTCTGACACTGGAAATCATCATGACTACTCTGGTACATGACTCCGGACGAAGTAGCTTCAAGGAAAGCTCCAAGTTCATGCTCCGGCTCTATAACTTAATATTTCCGAAGACTTCGGATAAAGTGGCTTATTGTTGTCACTGATCGCTTGACCAGGCTGTATAAAAAGTCAGTATACTGTACGGTCAGACCAGTTCAAATTTCAGTCCTGTTTTGATAGAGTAACCTCACAAGAGACGGGGCTAGGTGAAACTCATTTGTATCATAGACCGCTTTGCTCATTTCGTTGCGGAAATTCATCTGAAATGCCTTTATAGTTTTGAGAGACCTAAAGGGACCTGTATAAATAAATGCACTGATTCTAATGCCAACCATCAATATATTGAATTTTCCCGTTTCAGACTGCCAGCCTCGAATTCACAATGCCTGAAATCATAATTAGGATGGATATTAAGCGCTCCGCTCAGTGAAGCGGCAGTGTATGTGCTTCTAGGGTCTTGAGAAATAGCGCCTGGAGTGAAGTGCGCACCGGGACTGGATTCGAGTGAAATCGGTCAACCAGAAAGCTAAGGAACGAATCTACGAGACAATGAAAAGATCCTGATTCGAGGCCCGAGTCGGATAGGCCCATCGAAAGAGAGGCGGCGGGGTAAATACCAAGTGTGATGAGGCCAAACTCGGTTTACCACACATTTTGACAAGTAGGATGTAAACAAGTGAGAATTTGTGATAGGGCGACAGTGGAATAAGAGGGTCAAGAGTAGGTAGATAGACAATGACAGAAATAAGAGTGATACTGTAACCGTTTTCGGCAGAACGCTTGTCGGGGGATTGACTTCACTTGTCTCTTTGGCGAGGGAAATCCGGATGTGAGGCCCGAGTTGGATTAGCCTTTCGAAATAGTTGAGGTCGGGGTGAATAGTAGGTGAGATCAGGCCATACTAAATTAGCTAAAAAGGTACATTTTGACGATTGAAATGTAATCAAGTCAGAAGTTGTGATAGGGTTAGGGGGTAAGGCGTATATCGATGGGCCAGGACATAAATAGGAGTGATAGTGTAATCGTTTCCGGCACAATGTTGGTTGAAGGATTGACTCAACTTTTCTTTAGCTTGGTGCCGAGAATGTCGACACTCACGGATGATGCAGTCGAAACGTCTGAGAATGTGCCAAGTCCACTGTTTGCTGCTGTGAATTATGGTAACTACTATAGCAGAGGACTTTAGACAAGGTGCGTTGTACTAATAAGTTTCGAAAACCAGGTCAACCCACTTCTACAGAGTATAATGCGACATCCCGCGTCCACACTATCTGTCATCTGTCAGCCCAACATTACAAATTAAGAGACCGCTTGATTATCAGTAACGTTATGTAAAGAATTCTGATTCTCCAATTCCCAATTGCACAAATCTTGCTAATGAAATTAGTGTTAGTTGGCGTAATTGTCATTTCTGTGATTCCATCAGAGTAATCCGCAAATTCTATCAAGGTCAACGTTTAGGTGTTTTTGGTGCGTTCGCACCATCTTACACACTCGTTCGCTTGCTCACCATGATCTCAAAATGTGCCAATCTATTCGAACTGCCCTCAAGCCTACAACAGGGCATATCCTCGATCTTCATTCGTCACAGCCGTCAGCAGGACCACCTGATTTAACAGCTCTTGGCCTGACTGTTCAAGGTAACCTTGCTTGGGAGGCAAGCTTTTCTGTCCACTCATCCCATTTGTCGGCCAATGACAATCTATATTGTAACCATCGCAATTCTCAGCTGGTCCGTCTCTTAGACACCGGAGCCTTGTACCCAACTATCCAGCTGTGAAATTCTCAGTCAACCTCGGCGTGAACACTGCTCGAATCAGTAATATACTATTCAACATTAGAATGCTGCAGGATGCGGCTTGTCGTAGAGTTCAATTCACATCAAGCCTCTTACTTCTGACAATGAGTTAAAACGAGTGATTTTAATCGTATGCTATATGTATGAGGCGCAAAAGGTTTCACTTGTAATTACTCTAAAATAAGGGGAGAACCATGCCTACTACAAAAAAGCATACCGGTATATATGCAGGGTTAGGCAATAAAGCTCATCTATTCAGGCTCATCTGAAAGCTTTACTCCATATCTACGAAGGAGATTGTCTGACCTTGAAATAATCGGCATTATTTGGCAATCACACTTAATGATAATTATTATGGTGGCTGGCTATAAATCGGAACGATTTTCTACGTCTCATAGCTCGAATAGATCAAGGATCCTCAATTGAGGTTCACACAAAAACACGAAGTTAGGCGCACACATTTATCTTAACCACCGACAAGTAAAATATCTACTTGTAATTTTACACAGGACACCATGGAATTGGTGACACATGGGTTAACTGCAACTACCAGGTGATAAACACAATTTAATCTCGTCCATAAGTGAACGTGTATCTTTGTTATTATTTTCCAATCCAGCCATACTTGATTGTTGATAGAGTGTGACAAGTTTCTATTCAAGTATCAATGATATTTTCGAAGCATGCATTCTTTGGCCATAAGTGACATAGTCGTATTACTGGAAACTAAATGTTTTCCTCATTTTTACCCACATTTTAGATTTTTTTAAAGAAGGGATATGGCTTTCCTTGAAGTTACATCTGCCCTGTAACATCTCTCTTAACAGTGTTTTGAAGACGTAACGTCGGCATTTCGGGTGTACTGATGTGACCGAGGTAAGGGCGACGGGGAAGTCCAGTCTGTATGAGAAAAGCTGTTGGTATTAAAAGCTTGGTGAAATGTATTGCCTTGCCAGGCCTTCATATTCTATTGATAAATTTCCACTCTGAAAGACAAAAATGCCTAACTAAATAACAAAATGTGTCTGACCTTGCGAAATCGGAAAGATGGTTAAAACATACATATAAATATATACACAGAATAGGTGGTGGTGGTTAGCAAACATTGATGACGGAAACCAGACTTTACCTTAGCAGTTCTAATTACATTAGGCCATCACTGCTGCCTTCATGTGCGAGAAAAAGGGGGCTAAAGTACAAAGAAGTGAGCGTAATTAGAACCAAGACAAGACTAGTTAAGTTGACTCCTATTAGCAGGCAGCTCAGCACCATTACTATCCTTGAGTCTATTAATTAGACGCAAATAATTTTTAATTATTTCTTACATCTTATTTATTCCCTATTCGGTTTATTTTGATGGTTTCTTTGATTTTATCTATTAATAATCTCTATTTCACATAAGGCTGTGTGAACTTCATTGAAAATCTATGGTCTACTTATGGTATTCGAAGGTATGGAGACCAAGGTGGTGTGGCCTTTTGTGTGGTCGCAGTCTCCTTTCGCTGTATAGAAGTTGTTTGACATTGTTTTCGCAACTTGGTCATATTGGTAGGAAGACTTAGATGAACGTACCTAGTCAGGAGTCCATTGTATGCATCATCATTTTGAGAGTAGGATCGTGGACTTAGTACATTA